CTGCATCACCACAGTAACTTACTGGATGACAAAAATCTCCTTGCGTCTAAAGAAAAATGAAGAGTATCTGGAAGTAAAGATTCATTATTTATTTAGTATACAAATACACTGTATTACTTTTGATTTGCTAACACAAGAACATGAGCATTACAAACCTTAAGTTTTATTCTACTTCAGGACATTTCTTGTCTTGAATTCACATATTAGTCAGATATTTCTTATCTGCATTCTTATATTTTTGCCATTGCTTGTAAAATAGTTTAAGACAGAAGTAAAATTAATGACAAGAATCTGTCAAAAAACTGACAAATAAAATGCTATTTTACATAGAATTTCATATATCAGTCAAATACTATGTATTCTTATTGAAGCCACAATAAAAATTGCACTACCAAAGATTTTCCAGTTTCTGCAAGTTTGAACCTATGCCCAAATGTCATCATTCTTTTGCTCCATATAACTAGAGAATAAATAATTTAAAAGAAGCAGTTCTTCCCTTAGAATCATTCTCTGTACAGAAAACACTCTTTGAAGAAGGATACCAAGAGTCCTTGTCTATTTAGGAGGGTTCATATTGATCTCATCTAGCATGCCTCATTAAACACACACACACACATACACACACACACAAACACACGTATTATGATATCTCAGAATCAAACAGACCTGGGCTAGCATCATGGCTGACCTATTTACTAGATGTATGATCCTGAACAGTTACTTAAAAGCTCTAAGCATCTTTTGTTTTTCATTTGTAAAATGAGGATAAGAGTACCTACTACAAAGATTGAAAGAATTATTTGCGATCATTACATACAGAATTTAAGACATAGAAATGGCTCATAAACAGTAGCAATTATTATGTTAGCAAACCCTACATAAAAGTAGATTTGGATAATTTTTAATTTTATAAATATTAGAAATAACAATAACAAAAACAAATGTATTCTGATACAAAGCACATTTATGGGATCCTTTTAAATGGTAGCTTCCTGAGGGCATAACTATATGTTTAACAATAATTCAACATCCAAACATCTAAAGTTATTGAAGAGAGAAACTCTTAGACTAGCAATTCAATTGTCTTGCTTCATTTTGTTGAGAATTTTAATTCCATTCATGATTACTGGATTGGGCCTTGAGTGTTTAAATAATGTACCATTACATTGACTCAACTAAAACAGGCAAGATAATTAGTATGAAATAAAGTACAAATTTTTTGGAAAAAAAATTGAGGCCTAGAAGAAACTAAACATCTGTCAAGTAAAAATATTAGAAACATTGATAATTGTTATTCTACTATTTTTTTATTTACTTACCATAGGACACAAAATTTCTATAACTTAAGTATGAAAAGAAGACAGTGAAAATAAACTTTTTTAGCAAATAGAATATCTAACTCGTGAAAGTTCTGTTTCATTATTTATTTGGAGGTATTATGACACTTATGGGAAGGTAGTCTGTGTTACACTTGAATTAGTTAAAAACAATCCATAATGTAAGTCAGTCTCAGCAATTTTAAAGAGACAGGTCTATGTTTTACCTGTGTGTACATGCTAATCTTGCTAATATTTTCTCCTAGAAACCTTTCTCACTTCAGTGGATTAAGTGGCTGTGTTTTGAAGGAGTGATCACAAAATGTTGTTTTGTTCATTCATTTATTATATAACAAAACCCACAGGTCATTTTCTAACCTGGTAACTGTAGAATAGATGAGCCAAAAATATTAAATATTCTTACTAAGAAATGTAAATTGCATTGTCTAAATTTACATATAAATGTGCATAATGAAATAACATAATTATCATTCCAAATAAGAATTTAAAACATTATTTTGGTATACCTCTGAATGTTCTCATGGAATTATAAAGTACTAAATTTTTGAGTTTTGTTCTCTTTTGGGAAAGAAAAGTATAAATTGAGAGAATTATTCTTCAGATATTTAGTGAAACAAGGTAGAATACAATTAAATAATGAGAGTTTACATGTACAAAAATTATAGGATGAATCTTAAAATATACATAAATATACAGGCAGATAAAATAGTTAAATAATTTCTTAACTATAAAACCCCAAATCCTTGAAAGAATTCGGTACCTAGCATTGTAATGACTTCTTCTGTCAACTAAATAACTCTCAAAACTAATATTTTAATGACTGATTAGATATTCTTCTTTTATCATTTCTCTATGGACATGTGAAGACATAAAACATTGAGGAAAACTGAAAGAAAATAGCATGGGGAAAGTGAAGAGTTTGGATGAAAAAGAACATGCATGAGCCTCAAGTAAGAATATTAGAAACACCGATTATGTTAACTGGGTAGACTTAAAGGAAATTATCTCAGTTCTTTCTTGCAAATAACAAGGACATATGGCATCCTCAAACTCCTGGATTCTTCACTTCCAGAATCAACCATCAATCTCTGTGGCTCTATCCTCATTAGAACTGTATGGCTTTAAATACATTTAAATCTTCCAGCACCTCAAAGACAGATGAAGAGCTTTACAGCTTTACTGAAGGACGGCCCCATGCATATGTGTATCTGACTAATTATAGATCTGTTAGTTACTATTTTTTTTAGTCATATTGTCAAATGTTTTAGTGACTTTATTAATATAAAAAACCTTCAATAAATAGTAAAGCTGGACATAAAGCTCTGTAATGAAGAGTTAGTACCCAAACCACTTGGTAGTTATTTTAATAAATTTCTATAATAAATCAAGCAAAGAATATTATTATGTGCCTGCCATTGGAATTACAGATAACAATGTTTTTCAGACACAAGTACTGAGATCATAACAAACAAATGATAAAGTAAAAAGAATGGAAACTAAAATTATGAACTTTACTATTACTAAGGGTCATATATGCTAATTTTCTATATGCAAAAATAAATAATAATTATTTGAAAAATATTTGAAAGAAACTTCTACATCATTTTGCAAATGAGGTGACATATACATAAACAAATGTAGAAGTTGGAAAATAAATAATGAAGAGTCAAGGTTAAATAAAGCAGTCCCTGCATTGTAAATATCCAATAATAAACAGTCTGTACAGTCCTCACCCACCTGTTCTATTAGCTGCCATGACAGTAATTGGTAAACAAACAAATAAACAAAAACAAAACAAAGAAAACAACCTTATCCCTTTTTGATAATGGTTATTTTCAAAAGTAGATGGAGGAAAGTGCAAGCTGTGAAAACACAGAGAGCTTAGGGGATCTGACCTTACCACGGCCTGCCTAGAATGCTAACCTCCTTGATAAAGAATACCTTCTCCAATACTGACTGGCTTTTTTCTCTTTATTAACTTATATCTCCTAAAAATTTACTAAGAACTTTCAGGAGATTAATAAAGTTTCTTTTATAAGAAGGTTCTAAAGTGGATGCTTAGAAGCTCACATTTTAGTATGAACAGATTCATTTAAATTGTTTAAATAACTAAAATTAATTCCATTGAGAGATTTGTTTTATTATTTGTATGCTTTAGGGTGTAGAAGAAATAAACTGGGACCTCAGGCCTGTGGAGGGGGCACAAAGAATTGAGAAAGCAGTATAGAAGGTAGTTGGAAGAATACTATTGAAATTCAGTGGTCCCACAGGGGAAAAGAAGAAATGTCTTTTTACTATGTAGCATGACCCTTCAAGGACTGAGAGACATAGCCTCAATACTAGCAATGCTCTATTGTTCCTACGATGATTCATTTTGGCAGGTTAACTTGGGAATTTATTGCTCTTTTATACATAACATTTCTTATGTGGAAAACTGTCCTGGGCAATATATAACCATCTTACACATAGTCTTTGGAGCAATATCCACTCTTGATGGGAATGGCTTGTATTAGAATATTAACAAAGATAAATATCTCAATAGAAAGAATAAGTTTTCATATTCAACACACCAATTTCTTTGTAATCTAGTGATAACACTGAATAACTTTCATTCTGTAGCATTCGGAAGTACGCTGCTCATCTGATGACACTTCCCGCAATAGCACATTTTAGTTATTTTAGATATGCTGGAAATATTCTTGCAAAGTCAACCTATTAGGAAAAGGTTGACTTTGGTAAATGATGACTACAAATGATTGCTTTCTTTTTAAGTTCAAGACCTTTGATTGCCTATTTTCAGAGTTAATAACTTTTAAAAGTTCACCAGAATTGTGCAAGTACCTTGTAACAATTATGTTTATTTAAATATCAAAAATATTGGCTCTTATAAGAATCTACACTTGTTAAGATAGCCTGATGATAGTGTTTATTAAGAATTTGATAAGTCATGTCAAGACAGAAGTTTTTGGAATGTGCCAACATTTTGAATAATTTATGATGATTTTAAAAGATTTTAAATTAGTTATTCTTTAAAATCATTCACTTTACTATTTCTAATGCATACTGATGAAGTGTCATTTGACATTTAGTACACACATTTTTTACTTTTCCTCCTACAAGTAATTTTTACTTTGTATTTAATTTTTAAATATTAAGCAATTTGAAAAATGAAGTAACAATACACAATTTATACTTTTAATGTAATTTTATACTATATATTAAAGTAAGGAGTTATAAGAAAGGTTTTTATATGAATGATATAAACAATATCAAGTAGTTACAAATTTAATTATTTTAAACATCTGATTAAAAATGTGGACACTCCCAGAATATCTGCTATAAAAAAATCTATCATATGAAGAGAATTATTAAACACAATTTTAAAGATTTAATGTGTAAAAATATTTGTCTCAGAAAAAAAAATCCAGCTTGAACATTGTAGTCTGAGGTTCAGATATATCGAACTCTTAAGTATTAAGAAGATTAAGTGATTCTCTGAACACCAGTGAGAAGTGTGTAGAAGATGGAGGTCACCCTTTGAAAGAAGATCTCTGTGACCTGTATAAATAGGAGCCCCACAAACACTTCCAACAAGCATAGGTCAGAACAGGGTCATGGCTTCAGGCCCTCTGGACCACTGTTCGCCCAGAGGAGTGTGCTCACCGCGTTAATCTCTCGTCCTTCAGTTCCAGGTCTGCCACTGTAATGAGCTGATCCAGTTTGAATTTAGTGTCAATAATTTCTGCATCCCGAGGAGAGTATGTGCCACCTTCTTTCTGCTTCTGCCGAATTCTAAAATAAGTGTAATAAAGTTCAAAAAGAAAATGTCACACAAAGCATATGAAATTAAGTTTAATTTTCTTTTTAAGTAAAGACATTAGTCAAATAATGTCTTTGTTGGGATCACTTCTCTGAATATATTGCAATTTTACAGCTACTCAACTTTTTTTTCCATCTGAATTCTATAAGACCTATTCTACTACATATTTTTTAACATGTTGTTTTCTTGAAGTTTCAAATTTTAATGAGAATTAGTTGATTAACAATTGAGTCACTGGCACAGTTAAAATATAGAGCAAATGAGACTGATGTTGTGAGCTTACTTCTCCTCCCCTCTAGCTGTCTCATGGATTTGTCACAAGAAATATGCCAAAGTGGAAATAGCTCATTGTTATCAACGCCAGTGCTAAAACACAATGCTCCATTGTTTTCACATTCACATAACATTTTTACACATGTGAAAATACATAAAAATGTGTTTTGAACTGTCTTCTTGACTTTTAAAAAATATTGTGAAGTATATTTTTATTTACAATCAGAAAACTCAGGTTCAAAAATAAAAGTCACATGAATCTGAGATTCAAACTAATGTCTTTTCATTTTAAGCCATTTACACGCTTATTTGTCTATAACATAGTGTGGTAATTTACAGAGTAATATTTAGCTTTTCTATCTATCCTTCACATTTCAAGTATGTATTATTTATTGAGTTATATATTGAAGATGATATAGGAAGTATAAAATATTGTCCTGATCCTTAAGGACATTACAAAATTTAGTTGAGAAGCAGAATCTAAATTTAGAAAAGCATAAAAAGAGAAAAAAAGATGCAATTAAAACTCATAAGACAGTATCTGATTAGTTATAAAGCGTTATATAAGTGATTATAATTCTTAGTATTTAGAAGAAGTAAAGAAGTAGGATATGACTTGGGTGTTCCAGAAGGAGAAGGAGGAGGAGGCACACTTCCAGTAGATTGAACGAAAGGAGAGCTGTATAAAAGCCTAAGGGAATGATCAGGTGAGAATAGATCTGTTTGTCTGAAGAGATGTAAGAAAGTGATAGAGAATAAGAGAGGACCATTTCTTGCCATCATAAGGAGTTCATCCGGGAAGGAAATGAGAAGTCAGAAAAGATTTTAGAGCAGGAAAACAATATAAATATGACTGATGTGTGCCTCTTAGGGACAGCACCCATATCTTACATAATATGTCTTTAAAATGCCTAGAATAAGGATTTTCTTTCATTATCTTCTGGCTGAATCTGAGAACAGTATGTGGTATTAGAAAAAAAATCTTTTTCAAGAGCATTTCAAATGATCTATCCGAGAGATTCAAGATGAAACTGATCGTGGGCATAATTTATATAGGACAATGCTCTTCAGATAAAATAAATATAGGGCCCAGTGAACTACTTAGGAAAATAGTAGAATAGTTACTTTTGCAAATGTAAGTTTCCTTAAACTCAGCCATCTACCTTACGAAAGTAGATTTTAGGATCATAACTAAGATTCCCTCTGAGGTCCTATAAACAATAGGTGAATTAAGAGACTGATGTTGAGAATTTGGAAGGACACTTGGAAAATGTAGTAGAGAAATGCTGGTAAAGTAAATATGAGAAAGGGGCCCACTGTAGAAAGAAGTTGGACATCTTTAAAGTGCTATATACTTACTATAAAAATTATCTCCTCTGTATTAACTTTAAAATTTAGACCTGATTAAAATATTTTAATTAAATCTATCATAGTTATAAATTATTTTAAAAATGTAGAAAATCTAGCACCTTCACTTTATTGTCTCTCAGCTTGAAATCCACTCTTTGTTGCCCTGCTTTGTAATGTTGGAGCTTGACTCTATAACATTTCTCCTTTGCCAGCTGGCAGGATATTAAGCTTTGTTAACAGAGGATACTAGAGTGACCCTGCAAGAGAATAGGGACAGGAAGACACTTCTCTCGTGGGTTCATGCTGCAATATTATTATTCACTATGGGAGCCCAGCCGCTCACCTGGATGAGCTCTAGCTGCCTCTGAAGTGTATGCTTTTCCCACGGGTGAATGATACTAAGGAAATCCAGCTTATCCACAACGTCCAGCAAGCATAGGTCTCTTCTCCAGGACCAATTCCAGCCTGCCTACCCTCCAATAATAACGGGTAGCTTCTATAGAACAGCTCCAGCCCCTTTCTTCTGTCATATTTCTTTGCTCACTGATAGGCAATAGGCTGCATGTGCTTGCAGTAGCCATTCCGTGTTAGCTTTGGGAGTGGGTTTTTTTCTAGTTCTTAGTTCCTTTAATTGTCCTCTCTCAGCCTAGAGAGAGAAGCTTCTTTGTTGCACTTACTATTTCTAGACCTCTTAGATTTCTTTTTCACCCACTTTCGTGGTTAACTATTTCTATTAGTTAACAATTCTTTTTATTAAATGTTTCCCATTCAAGTAACTGTTGTGGCTTCTCTCTCTTGATTGGAATATGACTGAATAATTCCCATAAAGCATCCTAGCAATGTGAGTACAGATAAATCTTACCTTGCAAATGCAAAAATTGCTGTTCCAAGAAGAATGATGGAAAGGATGCACAAAGTGACTGAAAGAATAATCTCTACAGTTCTTTCTGAAAGTCCTTCACCTGAAGGAGAGGAAGTATAACATTATCATTAATTATTGTTATGGAGTATTTTCTTGGATCTCAAAACATAAAAAAATATTTTCTTGGAATACTGCTGAAGAATGCTAATAAAATGTACAAATGTGTTTGTTACTCTTCTGTATCTTCTAACTTTGGGGCTCAATCCTTGGATCTCTTTTGTCTACCGAAACTCACTCCCTTAGTGAGTCCATCCAGCCTCATGGTTTTAATTTTCATATATATGATGATGACTAATTAATTGTTACCTGTTGAACCTACTTGTATATCCAATTGCCTAGTAGAGCGTAATTAAAATTTAAAAATCAACATTTCCAAAGCTAAACTCCTATACTTCCCTTCTTTCACCTGCATCCCTCCACTTCTAGTTGATGGTAACTTCATAGTTCCAGTTGCTCAGGCCCAAACCTTAGAGTCATACCTGACTCTCTCGTCCTCTCATAGAACACATCCAAAATCTTTGAGGGAATCCTGTTGACTTTATATTCAAAGTATATACTCTTTTCATTAAAGTAACTAAGAAAACTTGGAGAGATGGTAATTCCAAAGTAGGAGTAGGGAACCAAAAGAATTCATATGTCTAATGGAGCAATAAAGCTAAGAAGCCATCAAAGACTAATGATATGAAAAGACTAAAAGATCTTCTTGAAGAGGTTCCTACTGGTCAAAGAATGAACAATTTAAACTTTATAATAATTAAAAACTAAAATTGACTGAAATAGAGTCAATATATGAGTCAAAGTCTATGAATTTTGATATTATACAATGTAAGAGAAATAAAAAAATAAACAAAAAATGTTAATTTATATATACCAGAGTACCATTTCCTTACTCTAAAAATTTATAATTAAAGGGAGAAAATGAGGCATTTTTTTTCTGGCTTTCTCATATGAACTGTATTTTATGAATTAAAAAACAACTGCTTTAGTTAAGGAAAGAAATAAAACTCTTTATTTGAGGATCATTGTTTAATAAATGTGTCAGGAATAATAAAATTAAAAATTCACAGTTTTATATTCCTAACAAAATAATTGATTCAGGTAACAATCATTAAATGCATTCTGAAATGGTTATGAGGATGATAGGAAATTGGATATTTACTAATTGGATAAGATGCCAAAATATTACCCCATTAATTATTTGCTAGTTATAAGGAGGAAAAAAGCAACTTTCCAATGAAGAATCATGTCACTACTGCTACCATTACTGATCAATTTTAATGTCATTGAAAACATGACAACCAGATATTAAACAACTATTGATGTGAGGTATTTCAATCTAGGCAGCAACACCTGTAAAGAATCCTTGCCAAAAATTGTTATTGTGAATATTTAACTTTTTAAATCTTATTTCTAATTAAAAAGAAAGTAAAAATAGTGAAAGAAGTAAAAGTAAATGAAACCAAGAAAAAGCAATCAGACAAATCTAGAATATGGGACCTCCTACAGGACAGCTCTACTGGTTACTTTAGTGAGTCTATGTCATAGGGGGAAAAAAGAGGAGGACGTCTCTTTTGGATTAAAAGAGATTAAGAGACACAACAATCAAAGATAATGTGTGAATCTCTTTTTTGGATCCTGATTAAAACAAAGTACAAAGAACAAAATCAGAGGACGATTTGAAAATATAGGTAATATTATTTAATATGAAGAATTTATTGTTAATTCTGTTTAACTGTGACAATATGAGAAAAATGTACTTATTAGAGAAACAGTAAAGTATTTCAGGGTGGAATATATCGCTTTCCGTGATTTACTTTAAATACTTTGGAAATAAAAGAACAAATGCACAAATAAAATAGTGTGGCAAAATGTTAAAAATTATTAAATTTAATTAGTAAGTATTTGGGGGTTCATTATACTACTCAAAACTTTTCTGCATGCTCTACTCATTTCTCACTACCCCTGCTATTAGCATTCTGACCCAGGCCAACATCTCATTTTATGGGAATTATTATATGGCCACCTAACAAGTCTCCCTGTTTCATTCCTTGTCTTCTTTCTATATATTCTCAAGATAGAAGCAACATTCATCTTTTTAAAACATTACCTCACTATTTAAAATCACCATCTCTCACAGAGAAAAGCCAAAATCCTTCCAATGGACTATATAACCTGGCCCCTCATTAACTCTCTGCTTCCCTGTTAAGTATAATTCCCCTTCCTATCTCCACCTTGCTCACTCCTCTGGAGTCAGACTGGCCTCCCTGTTGTTCCTGGAACACACCAAGTCATTCTTGATATAGGGCTTTTGCGTCAGCTTCTGGCTCTGCCTGGAAAAGTATCGCCCTTGTATCTGCCTGGATAGCCATTTTATTATCTCCAAGGGTCTGCTCAAATATCACCTCACTGAAGTCTATGCTGACCACCCCTTATGAATGAATATGTGACTCCAAAAGACATACATTGAAGGAATACGCCCCAGTGTTAATACATTTCGAGTAAGGAAGTAATTAAGGTTAAATGAGGTCATAAGGGTTGAGACTAATCCAATAGGTCCAATAGGATTAGTGTCCTTATAAGAGACACCAGAAAGCTGACTTTCTCCCTCTATGCACACACACTGAGGAAAGGCCATGTGAGGACAGTGAGAAAGAGGCCTTTTGCAAGCCAGGATGAGAGCCCTCACCAGATACCAAATTGACTGAACCTTGATCTTGCACTTCTAACCTCCAGTCTATGGTACTTTGTTATGGCAGCTCGAGAAAACTAAGACACCACTATTTAAAACTGAAAGATACAACTCGCTCACTTCCTGCCTCCGCCCTTCTACATCCGCTGCATAGTATTCCACTCTTTCTTTTCTCTGTACCCCTTATCACCTTTTAATATATTTTCCAATTCATTTATTTATTATCCTTATTATTAATTATCTGTCCAAAATGTAAGCTCCCTGAGGACAGGGGTTGTTTATTTTCTTCAGAACAGTATTTCAAATTCAGAGAATAGTACCAAACATAATAAATGCTCAATAAATGTTTGCTAAGTTTACTAATAAAAATATTGACTTTGAAAGAGATAAAAAATTTTCAGGTTGAAGATCAGGCATTGAATCAAATAAGAATATAAAAATTATTTCTCATTTACTTAAAAAACAACTACCAATTAAAATTATAATCAATTTTAATTTATATGATTTGTAATTTATAATTTTAGTGTAAAAAAGTATTAAAGTCAAGTGACAACATAAAATAGGTTAACTATCTGTAAATATGCAAGGATTAATGTTTCATCTTTTTTCCCAAGATTGGTGATTATAAAATGTTAATGGTATGAAAGGGTTCCTGTGGCTATTCTGCATGGTCGATTTGAATGAATACTGAATCTCAAAGAGTTATCAGAGTTTTATGATCCTCTAGAATCTACAGCTAAATTTAGAAGACACTATAGCAGCATGTAGCTCATAAAGTATTTTAGATACATCTTTTTTATACATTAAAATACGAATGGTTTGTTTTATGAATTTTCAAATGCTGACTCTAATTGGATATGCTTGGGAAAGGAAACATGAAGATTAATAAAGAAGCTTTATCAGGTAGTATTGAATCATTGAACCTCAGAACTCAGAGGGAGAGAAAAATGATTTCATAGACCACAAATAATTTTTTTTCAGATTAGATTACCATTTCAAAGCACTAGCTAAGTGAAGTGAAGAAATGACATATGACATATTAATAAACAATATGTAATCCTTTGGGCACATGTATTACAAAATTACCACCAGGAAAGGACAAAATGTGCCATGATTGTGAGTACAAATTCTGATTCATTGCTATACATGTACCCACAGAGCATTATCATCAGTACAGGATGAAGTCACTTATTCAAATCCTTTCATAGAAAATACAATTCTTTCGCTTAAAAATACAAACATAAATCTTTTTGGAATAAGTACACATCATTTTCTTACTAGAGAAAATTCTATGAAAGGTCAAATTAAATTATATTGTATTTGCATAATAAAATGTACTACTGTAAGTAAGCTTATAATTATGAAGTACTAATTAATTTTTCATAAGTATCATCTTTTGATTAAAATGTTCATTGTCTAAACTCAACATATGGATCTGATTTATTAAGCCAGTTTTATATGTTAAGAAGCTTGAGTTAAAAGAGTTATCAAGCTTATAGGTCAATGTCTGAATCTTGATATGGGTGCATGTTACATGATCTTATTATTAATATTATTATTGATCTTAAAAGAAAATAAGTTCTTTTAACAGAACTTAAATATAAGCAGTTCTTTTTTGGCCTAGGCACCTTGGATATCCTAATACTCCACAAAAATTTACTAAAAGTCACTCAATTTCATGATTCCAGAAATACAAATTAATGTACCGAAGACAGATGTTGTTTTCATACATCAGAGTGGCAAAATATTAAAAGTAGATAATAAACAGTGGTTTCCAGAATGTAGCAAAAAGAGACTTACTCATTGTTAAAAAAATAAAAAGTCGTTATTGCATCTTTATGTGTAAAAATAAAGTATACTCTTATGTGAATGTTAACCTCAAAAACTGAGACAAGAAGGTGAAAAGAGAAGAGCTATAAATAATTTAAAATGTTTAGAAGAGAAAATGGTACAGCAAGGATAAGAAGTCTGTGGGAGCACGAATATCACCAATAGTAATGAAATTGAAAGCTCCCGGGGCACTTAACGATTTTCAGGCAAAGTGGTAACAGTGGCTACAAGTACAACAACAACTTGAGTCATGCCGCCTGGGTTTAAGACTGGCTCGGCTACTTCTTAGCTCTGCAACCTTGCTCAAGTTGCTTAAAGACCCAGTTTCAGATTTCTTACCAATAAACTGAGGCTATATATAAACAGGAAATCAGGTTATAGGGTAGTAAAGAATACACAAGTTTACATATAAAAACACTCATAAAAGTCCTGGCACATGAATAATGTTTGGTATCTTTATTGATAAACATTATCATATTCATTTATCCATTTGTTCATCAGATTTAATCTCCCAGTTAGTTTATGAGGTAGGTATTATTCTTCTCATTTTGGAAATAAGGTTTCAGAAGTTAATTTCTTAAATAACTAACCCAAGTTTACATAAATTTGATACATGCCAAAAGTGCCTGAAATAAGCCTGTCTGATTGCAAAGTTTATGAGGTTCATGACCACATTTCCACTGCCTCATTAATAATAAAACTTTCTGTTCCTCTATTGTTTGGGGAGAGGGGGCAAGTGGTCTTTTTGCTGCAAACAAAACAAAACAAAACAAAAAAGAAAAAACACAACCAACCAAACAACAACAAAAAAACATAGAGACTCCCTATTTCTGTTTCTAAGTGAGCATATTGTACCTTTTCATTGTTACCATAATAATTAAACAAGAAGTGTTATGACAGAAGAAAACAATCACGGAGTGCTTTTGCCATAGGGTTTAAGGTTTCATCTTGTTCAGTGTTAATGAAATCCTGTAAGGTGCAGAAAGGAGTGTCTGGTCTTCAAATCACAGGAATCTTCTATAATTAAACCTTGCAATCAAAACATTGCCTACTAGCAGTGTGCATGAACTGATATGCCTAAAGAGGATTTTCAAAAAGTTTAAAAGAGATTCTTGTAAATTTGTTAATAAAAATGCTAATGCTCAATCCTGAGTGAGAAAAAATCAAATACATTGTATTTCTTTAGGATTAAAATAATGGTGCATGTCATCTCCCAAGTTTATTCCTATAGGCGATCAAGATTTCTCTAAGCGTAAACTCCTCTCATAACCATTTATGTTGATCCAGACAAACTCTGCCTGGCTCCTTCTCAGTTGTACTTTTGTTAGCTCTTTTCACTGAACATAAACTTTTTAGTCCAGTCTATCAAAATTGTCTGTCTTAGAAGTATTTGCCCTATATTAACTTAGAACCACAGCCTGAAAATTTTATTGATAGGTAACTCAGCTTGGAGCTCATTGCCTGTGGTGTGCAAAAAAGCAGTGAATGAACGTATATCTATTGCTTGTTTGATGGCCTAAATGGGATCTATACTTCTTTCGCTGAAGTCGGGGATCACATACACACTTTCATCACTTACACAGTCTTTATCAGGCTTGTCAAGAATGTTGAGAGTCACTAGCCTGTTGCAAATGCTATCATATATCCCAATTCATGATATATTTGAGAGAAAAAAGACTCAAACATCATTTGTCATCTTATGATGAAAACAGGGGTATTATATCAATGTACTTTATTATGTGCTTGCCCCCATTCTCACAACCATGAAACCATTTTTGCCATTGACAGCCAACTATTATAGAAATGGTCAACTTTATTTCCTTTTTGAGAACTCCTACTCAATCTTCCTTGGCAATGTTCCTTTTCTGAAAACCCTTATGATTCCATGGCCTTTTATTTATGTCAGATCATGGATCAGGGACATTTCTGGAGGGTGCTCTTTGGTGCCTTGATCCATCAGATTGAATCTGACTTTCACAAAACCATAACATCCAATAGCCAGGTAGAAAACTCATGTGAGGACAGAAATTGACGGTGTTAAATCCATTAACCAGCAAAATGACTGGACTACATTGTTAGTCATCGAGGAATTCCACTCCAATGGTACACTCCATACTCCAAATCTGAACGTCTCATTTCACCACAACTGAGGGCTGCACTCCTAGTAATTTCCTCCACTCCTGCCTATCACTATTTCACTAGCTATAAATGATGAGATAGCAGAACTCCATGTAGTTCAATTCAGAATAAGTATTCAGAGTAAAAGCCTATTACAAAGCTGCTATCTATCAGCGGC